CTTCTTTTTACTTCTGGTTGAGCTCTGATCATCCAGTCACTGAAGCCAGGATAAGTGGGTATTATCTGCAAGTGTGGGTGTTCTTATGCGTATGCCCTCTCTTCTTATCAGCTGGATGCTTCACTCTCCACTCTATGGACTACCCATTCTTATCAGTGTTATTCATAGTTTGTTGTGATCCACAGCTGAATGCCATTGCATAGTCAATAAAGCACAAGTAAACATCTTTCTGGTTTTCTCTGCAGTGATATCCCCAGTTTCCCATCCTCTTCTGAATCTGTCTTCAATATCTGGCAGCTCTCTGTTGATGTATTGTTGCAACCATTTTAAAAGAATCTTCAGCAAAAGTTTACTTACATATGATATTGATGATTATTGTTGTTGTTAAGTGTTATAGAGTCGGTTCGGACTCATAGAGATGCGATAGAGGGTTTCCCAGGGTTTAAATCTTCTCAGGAGCAGAGAACCTCATCTTTCTCTCATGGAACAGCAGTTGGTGGGCTCAAACTGTAGACTTTGTAGTTCACAGTCCATTGCTTATCGTATGGAGCCACTGCACTCCTGATATTGATGATATTGCTCAATAATTTCCACATTCCTTTGGGTTACCCTTCTGTGGAATGGGCACAAATATGGATCTGTTCCAATTGGTTGGCCAGGCAGGTGTCTTCCAGATTTCTTGGTACAGGTGAGTGAGCGCTTCCAGAGCTGCATCAGTTTGTTAAAACATTTTAATTTGTCAGGTCCTGGAGCCTTGTTTTTAGCCAGTGCCTTCAGTGCAGGTTGGACTTCTTCCTTCAATACCATCACTTCTTGATCATACGATGCCTTCATTACTATTGGTTCTTGATCATATGGTATGACTTTTTTTTTTTTGTACAGTGACTGTGTATTCTTTCCATTTTCTTTGGATGCTTCCTGCATCATTCAATATTTTGCCGTAGAATCTTACAATCTTGCAACCCGAGGCTTGGGTCTTTTCTTCAGTCCTTTTAGCTTGAGAAATGCTGACTGTGCTATTCTCTCTTTTTTTAAACTCTCGGTCATTGCACATTTCATTATAGTACTTTACTTTGTCTTCTTGAACTGTCCTTTGAAATTTTCTGTTTAGCACTTTTAACTTTATCGTGTCTTCCAGTCGCTTTAGCTTTTCTACATGCAAAAGCCACTTTCAGAGTCTTGTAGAGGCTTGCAAGTTTCAAGTTCATAGGTCTTATTCATGGTGGAGGCTTCTCCTGGCTCATGTTGTTGCAGGGGCTGAGGAACCAAAACTGGCAGGTCAGATGGCAGGTTACTGGCTATGGAGGGGAATGAATCCAAGATCAGAAGGTAAGATAACAGCCTCCCAGGATTGGGAAGCTGCTGGCTCAAGTGCAAAGAACTGAAGATCAGATGATGATTAGATATATGCAAGACCCAAATCCAGCAAAAAATAAAAGCGTTTACACAGCATTCATATATATTGGAATCAGGTCACACCACAACCTTTTCAACTGGTTGGCTGGTTATAACACATCTCACCAGAGAAGCGATTACACGATATCAGATCTCATCTTGGGAGATCACTACATAATTGCCAAATCATCAGGAATCATGGCCCTGCGAAGTCGACACACAATGCTAACCATCACGGACCCCCATCCCAAAATCTAGATTTGGTGAATGAAGTCCTGAGTTGAAGTACCAATATGGGAGAATGAAGGGTCCTCAACCACTTCCCAGACCACCCATCTTCATGCACTCCAAGCCAGGTAACTCACTAGAAGGGGCAGGAGATCAGATACCACTTGCCTTTTAAGTGTAGACACTAAATTGGGAGAGTCATATCAAGTTCTAACAGTTTTCTCAAGAGTGTCCTAACATCATGGTCTTAGGCAGAGTTCTGGAGTGAGGAACTGAGTGGATCCAGAGCACACAACCATTCCCATTGTCAAGAGAAAGCTGGAACTACTGTGAATGTTACAGGAAAGACCTTATTGAAGAAACCAAGAGACCCAGAATCGTATAGCACGTCATGAGGATTAATCAAAGTACTGCAGTGAATGGGAGTTTCCACAGAGCTCAAATACAGAAGATCTAGGAATTTAAAAGAAAAAATTCTGATTGACCGACATTTACAAAATCATGCTCTAACAGACACAAGACAATGGCGAGACTTAAAAAATATTGTTTTGCTAATGGTCAAGTTTGAGTCCTGTAACAGTGTATGCCTATTTCTAGGGCCAGCCTGAGTGAAAGCTCTTCCTGAGCATGCTGTGAGACGGGAAAGAGGGGAGTCTAAAGGCTTGCTAAGGTATGCTGGCTTGCTCACTTTTGAAGGTCAATTCAGAATCAGCAGTAAACATGAAAAAAAGAAAGTAGGAAGGAAGAACGAGAAAGAAAGAAGGAAGGAGGAACGAGAAAGAAAGGAAGACAGAAAGAAAGAAAAGAAAATAAAAGAAAGAGAAAGGACTCAGGCCTATATTTTTAGCGGAAGCCTCTGCTTCCACCTGCCAGCTGCTTCTTTTGAGCTCCGTAACTGACTTTTAGGCAAGAGACCTCCAAGCTTCAGAACTCGCCGGTCTTGCTCTTCTGTGGGCGGAGCTGAGGCGACTCGGAGGGACCTGCACTTCCCCACCTCGTTTCCCGCCAGAACCAGAGCGCAGGGCCTGGAGTGACCGCAAGGAGGCGCCATGAGAGGATCTGTGTCGCTGGCAGTGTCCATGGCATCCCCTGGCTGTCTTCTCAGCAGCGGCAGCGGCAATGAGAGCCCCCTGGCTCTCCTGATTTTGCTCCTGCTCCTTCAGCCGGGGCTCAGCAAGGCCCTAGCAGGCACAGAGGGAGGCCTGGACAACCTCGAGCATCCTGAAACGAGCCCAGAGAATCCATCACCTGTCACTTTTCTGCCGTCCTTCGAGATCATTGGATCTGGCGAGATCTCTTCTCCAGGTGACACTTTGTGTGGGGAGTCCGGAGAAGAAGTCTGAGTCACTCAGAGTGGGACCCAGTGCTGTCTGGATATCTGGGGGACCTAGGCCCTGCCCTTAGGATTAAGTGGGGTCTGAGGGTAACAGGATTTTGCTTGGGGAAGTCTGCTGGTTCAAGGCCTGGGACATCTGCTCCCGGATTCTACGAGGACATGGCTTCACCCCTGACTATTTTAGGGACATGGGGTGATTTTCTGGGAGTTGTGGGCTTAGGGAATACTGGGCCTGTTTCCTTGAATTTTTCCTACCGGTCTCACCCAGGATGTGGCAAGTCTGATGTAAAGATAGTAGGAGGAGAAGACTCCAGAGAGGGGGAGTGGCCCTGGCAGGTGAGCCTGAGGATTCGAAAGAAGCACGTCTGTGGAGGCTCCCTCATCTCCAATCAGTGGGTGCTGACTGCTGCCCACTGTATTTTAAGGTGAGGGGTGGAATGTGGAAGCTCTGGAGGCAGTCCTGTTTCAAAGCTCGATTACCTCAAAAACCCTGGGAAGTTGGCAAAAGACTAAACAAAACAACAACCAAAAAGAACCCACAATAAAAGTGGGAGGGATTCTAAATTGGTAGTCTTTTATTAGTAATATTTAAGGGTAAGGGAATCAAGTCAATCTTGAATGATCACGGAGGGGTTCTTTTTTTGGTGGTAGGGAGAGTGGTGAAGGAGATCGAGAAGAAAGAAGTGGGGAATTATCTGACACTCATGTAAAAGCACAAATGGTGTTTCCCAGGTCTCTATAAGGAGTATGTTCTCTCTTCCACAGCTATTTCACCTACAGTGTCAAGATGGGAGATCTGAGTATTTATAATGAAGTCAACCAAAGTGTGGTGGTCCCTATCCAAAACATAATTGTCCACCCTGAGTTCACAAGAATTGGAACCATTCGGAATGATATTGCCCTTCTCCATCTCCTCTTCCCTGTGAATTTCACTGAAACCATCAAGCCAATCTGCATTCCGAAAGAGACTTTTAAGGTGGCAGCTGGGACCAGGTGCTGGGTGACTGGCTGGGGCCATCAGGGAGAAGGCGGTGAGTTTGTCATGCAGCAAGCAAATTTGGGGCAGGAGGGAGGGCAGATGGGTAAGGGGCAGGGGGAAGAGTTTAGCAACAGTTGGGCCAGTGGTTCCGTGGTTTGTCTGGGTACTCCCGAAACTAGTTTTAGGTCTTTTTTGTAACTCAAGTATCTGATGGCAGCCATTTTCTGTTGTTGTGTGCCTTTGAGTTGATTCCCGCTTGTAGCCACCCTTTACAGGATTTCTGAGAGTGCCTGGTGTGTCTGAACCACCGACCTTGCAGTTAGCAGTCCAGTACTTATTCTACAGTGCCATACCAGGTCTCCTTGGTAGCCATTTAGGAAAGACATTTAGCTGGGGCAACTGGAGCTGTTCAGTCAGAAGAAGGAGCACACTGTAAGGTCTTCTGCAGATTCGTGGAGGACTGGGCCTCATCAGGAGTCCTTGAGGGTTGTAGGTGGTTAAGTGCTCAACTATTCACTGAAAGTTTTGTGGGGTAAACCCACCCCAGCACCTGGGGTATTTTCCAGAGTGAATTTCAGATCAGGGGGTGATGAGCTGTGTGCTAATCACACTGAAGCACCTGCCTTGGTGGGTGGGGAGCCTCCTATCCTTGGGATGTAGAAGCAGAGAGGGTCCCTGTCTGTGAAACTGTAGGCTGGATTTGATATCTTTGGGATGCTACCTGTCCTAGAGTCTGTGATCCTGCTCTGCAAAGTAAAAATGCTTCACTGATTCACAGTACCCCTTCACCATCACTGCTACTACTGTGGTTGTGCCCTCTTCCTTCTCCTATCTTGGTTTTGTTTCTTACTTTCTCCTCTCCTCATGTCAGCTTTGGGCTTCAATTTCCTCCTGTGTCAAATGCAGACCAGACATATTGTCCTGCTTTCTACCAGGGGGATTCTTAGTCCTAGGGGGACTTCCTGTGTACTTTTGTAGATGCATAAACTGTTGATTTTCTTTGCTTGTAGGTCTGTCTCCTTTTTCAGAAATTCTCCAGAAGGTTGACCAGTACGTCATCCGCTATGAAAACTGTAACAACATAATGAAGCAGATCATGTCCCGTTTGACTGATGTGGTAGTGGAAGGAATGGTCTGTGGCTATAAGGCTGGTGGGAAAGATTCTTGTCAGGTCAGTACATGGTCCCCTTGTCTCCTTTGCATTTTGATTGTCACTTCAGAGCTCCTCATTTTCAAGTGGCACAGCCTGGGTGATTTGCCGGCTCCCTCTGTTCACCCCTTCGTTGAGCTAAGGAGATTTGCAGGGGAAATTCACTATGGTTTCCCTGAATCGGCCTGTTCTTTTCCTTCAAAAGGGAGCAGCCCTGTTGGAGTGTGGGGACGTTGAGAGTGCATAATATTATTAATGTAAGTTCCATGAATTGAATTCTTCTTCTGGCCCTCAGTGGGCCTGAGTAAGCATTTACCCAGATTATTTCAGTTAACCTTCATAACAACCCTGCAACATAGATATCATACCTTTTATATAGATGTGGAAAGTGAGGTCCAAAGACCCCATCTCCTATGATTACCTATCCAGCTTCAGAGCCCATGCACTTTCCTCTGCACTAAGCTGCCTCTCTGCAAAGGAGGCGATTTGAGCCAGGTGCTAGAGGTGACAGGTCCTAGTGTTTCTTGAAAAGGAAAGAAAGCTATGTAGGGAGAGGGAACAGCATGTGCAGTGGCTCAGAGTTCTATGAAATTTGTCGTATTTAGGGAATATTTCCTCCATCTGGAGTAATGAATGGCCAATGTGACCCGAGATGTTGAAGTTGGAATATGTGTGACTTGAAATGCTCTGCCAAGGGCCTAGGCTTTGTTAGGCAGGACTGGAGATGGGAGGTGGGGCCTTTAAGCTCAATGCCTCCCTGAGCTGTGTGGTGACTGGACTGCAGGCTCGGAATTGGTGTTCATCATCCAGCAAAAGCATCTGCGCTGTGAGCAGGGCCTGGCTCAGGGAGACGGTGAAAGAGGTATTTTTCCGGTTGAATCTTTGGTTCTTGGTGATTGATTGATTGCATGTGGGTGTGGGGCTCAGGGAGACATTGAGGAGGACCCTGTGTTTCTGCCTGGGGAGACTGGTGGTGGCAGGGCACACAGGAACAGGCTTGGAAAGGACATTTGGCATTCTGCTTAAGTTGGGGGATGTGTGGGATGTCTGGGGATGGGGCCTAAAATGTGGTGGCAGCTGACTGCATGGGTTAGGGGCTCTAGAGAGACTTCAGGCTACATGTAGGGCTTTGGGGATTACCATTCAAGCTCACCAGCTGTTCCTTGGAAACCCTGTACAGGGTTGTTATGGGTCGGAATCGACTCAATGGCACTTAACAACAACATACACAGGTGTAGTCACAGTGTTTAAGAACACTATGGTCTGGAAAATGGCCAATCAGAATGGACATAGACTTAGGGTTGTGGGTAGGCTTGGGTGGGAGGTCCAGAAGAGGTGCTGAGAGAGAATAAAGGTACTCAGGGTCTCACAGAAGTGGCATTAAGCACCAGGTATGAGAAAGAGTGTCAATATTTTACCAGAAGCCACATTTGTCTTGGGTCAACTGGTTTTATGTTCTGTGCTTATGTACCTGAGCACCTGGGAAAAGTAGTATTTCATAGCAGATATTAATGTTTCTCCATTAACTTTCCATCTCTTAGATTATACATTGACAGAAACTGAGGTCCATGGGGTATCTGAGAAAGCCCTGACATGTCTCCTAATCCCAAGGACCCTGGAGTGCTGTCAGTCTGCTGTGATGTGACTTTAATTTACTTTTTTTTAAAAAAAGTGATGTTAGATGTTGTTGTTATTAAGCACTGTCGAGTCAGTTCCGACCCATAGCGACTCTGTATAGGGTTTTTGAGGAGTAGCTGGTGAGCTTGGACTGATGACCTTGTGATTCAAACTGACTTTGCAGTCCAGAGCATTAACCCATGGCACCACACCAGGACTCCAATTTTAATTTACTTTTTAGATTTCTTTGTCTGGGTTGATATCTGGGTGATACTAATGTGTGTCTTTATGTCAGATGGTTGCTTGATGTTATTGATCCCCTCTCTGAAGGAGTCCCTATAATATTTCTCATAAGGATGGTCTGGTTTTAATACATTCCCTTAATTGCTGCTTATGGAAATGTCCTAGTTTCACCAAAGTATTTGAGAAACACTTTTGTTGGATATATGTATTTTAGTTGGCAAGACCATTCTTTCAGGATTTTATATATGTCATCTCATTGTCTTCTTGCCTGCCTGGTTTCTGACAACAAATCTAAGTTTAGTCTTTTTGGTGCTGTGCTGCTCTCTTAATTCTTTATCTTTGGTTTTGAAAATTTTGATGTGGTGAATTTTGGAATCTATCCTGTATGGTATTCCTTTGTATTGTTATTTAAACTTTTTATTGTGAATTGAGTAAAGATTTACAGAGAAGATCCAAACTTTGCATTCGACAAATAATATATACGCTTTGTTTCATCTCAATGATTATAATCCCCTTCATGCAACAACAGTTATCCAACTTCCTCTCTGCTATGTCTATTTCCACCCAACTTCTTATCCCTTCTCAACTTTGTCCTTAGGGAAATGTTGCCCCTTTGCTTTTGAATGACTGACCAGTCCATGGTGAGTATACCTTACTAGTGCTGTTGTCCTCTCTATATACCTATCTACTACATGGCTGAAAATTGGGCTACAAGGGTGCGTTCCTTTCTAGATCTGAAGTGTGGTCAAGAACCACAATCTCAGATTCTTCTAGTCTCTTTCTGACTAGTAAAGCTGGTCTTTTTAAAATCAAATAATTTTGAGTTTATTCCACACTTTCTCCCACATTTCTACCCAGGACTCTTGAATGTGATCACTTCCAGAGCAGTTGGTAGTGGTAAGCAGACACTGTAAAGTTCTTTTGGTCTCAGGGTTGTGCAGACTGGTGTTCACATGTTCCATTAGTCCATTGGACTAATGGATTCCAAGACTCTTCAATTCTTATCACTCTTCTTTCTTCTGCACATGGAGAGACCAATAACTGCACCTTTGATGACCGCTCATGAGTTTTCAAGATCCCAGACTTGACTCATTAAAGTAGGATGTAGAACATTGTCTTTGTAAACTATGTTAGTCCAATTGACCATGGTGTTTCCTGAGACTATGGTCCCGAAACTCCAGGCCTAGCAACTCGTTGCCTCAAGATGTTTGATAATATCTAACAAGTTTTCATCATTAGATTAACTGTGAGCAGGCATAGTTACCTCTATGATGATTGGCTATAGGCAGCCAATCAACTGAAAGGATGTTTCCTTGGTGGTGTGGCCTGCTTCCAATATAATTGATATACAGGAAAGACTCACTCTCTTCCCCTCTGGGTCTGTATCTCGCATCTGGGTTGTTCTCAAACCTCTGGTTCTTTGAACCTAAGCCAATGGCCTTCTCTATTTTGTGTTTGCCTGCTGAGCTTGCCTGCTGAGTGTGCCTGGAAAAGTGGACACCCACCACAGGACCATGCACATGTGTTCCTGTCGCCCAGCTTGTATGCTCTGCGCTGTCGGTTCTACATCACTCCTGCCCAGGCCTTGGTCACCTGTTACCCTGCTGCCACCTCTGTGCCCCAACTTGGGATTCCTGCCTTCCAGGCCCATTCGCTGATCTTGGTTTGCCTGACCTGTACTTGGGACTCTATTTCTACAACTGTGAGTCATTTCCTTGATATAATGTTCTATATATATACACATACACATTGGGCACTAATGCACCTTGGACTTCCTCTTTCAGTATCATTGGCTCTTATCATATGTTATATCCTTTTTTTTTTGGTAAGTCAATATTTTATTATTTTGACACTTGAAGTTTAAACATATTTCAGTAAATAAGATAATAAAAGGACAATTAAGTTAAAAATTAGTCACAAACTGGTTAAATATTTTTACAATGGAAAAATTGGGCATTGGATTGGCATCCAGAATTTGTATAGGACACCTACTAATTAGTGAATTAGAGCATATGCTACCTCTTGAGGTGATTAATCTTTGACTTTTTGGTACAGTGACTCTGTGTATTCCTTCCATCATCAGCACACAGCCCATCTCCCTCTCTGGGTCTAGAGTCCCCAGCCACACCATGTCTCCATGTCATCCTTTCTGCTTCCATCTCTGGCATCACTGCTTCTCTGGGTAGGGTCCCACACTCCACTCTTCTTCCATGATAGTTCAAGGGACCTCTACTCCTGGACTGCAAAGTCAATCACTCCCCTCCTTTTGCTACAAAATGTCCACCTTTACATTTCTAGCCCTCACAGTCAGTCCTGATAACAATTATTCACCATTGTACCACAAGGGACTTAGCCCCATCTCCTTTCATTAGCTCCACCCAGACAGATTGGATACTACTCAGTGGAGATTCTACCTTCCTCCGCGCCCTCTGGATCTAGGCTCCCTTTTGAAAGCTTGTAAGCCAGTCACTTCTTGTTTTTGTAGTCCCCCCATTTTGGGTAGCCAGTGTCCAAGTTGCCCATCCCTGTCTACTCTGTGTACTTCCATCTTCTGTTGATGTTTTCTGCATCATTTAATATTTTGCCCATAGAATCCTTCAGTATTTCAAGTTGAGGCTTAAATTTTTTCCTAGGTTCTTACAGGTTGAGAAATGCTGAGCATGTTCTTCCTTTTTGTTTTTCTAATTCCAGTTCTTGGCATTTTGCATTATAATATTTGACTCTGTCTTTTTGAGGTGCCCTTTGAAATTTTGTATTCAGCTCTTTTGCCTCCTCATTTCTTCCATTTTGTAAGCATTTCTATGCTGGAGAGCAAATTTCAGAGTCTCTTCTGACAACCATTTTGGTCTTTGCCTTTTTTCTTGTCTTTTTAATGACCTTTTGCTTTCTTTCTGTATGATGTTCTTGATGTTACCCCACAACTCTTGTGGTCTTTAGTCATTAGTGTCTAATGTATCAAATCTGTCCTTGAGATGATCTCTAAATTCAGGTGGGATATGTTCAAGGTAATATTTTGACTCTTGTGGAGTAGAGTAGTTTTCTTTTTTTTTCAGCTTCAGCTTGAACTTGCATATGAGCAATTGATGGTCTGTTCCACAGTCTGCCCCTGGCCTTGTTTTGGCTGATGATATGGAGCTTTCCCACCATCTCTTTTCCCACAGTCATAGTCTATTTTATTTCTGTGTATTCTATCTGGTGAGGTCCATGTGTATAGATGTCTTATGTCTTTGGTCTTACAAAATTCTGTCTTGGAATCTCCAGCATTGTTTCTATCACCAAGACCATATTTTCCATGACTGATCCTTCCTCTTTGTTTTCAGTCTTTGCATTACAATCACCAGTAATTATCAATACATCTTGATTGCATGTTTGATCAATATTAAATTGAAGAAGTTGGTAGAATTTTTCAGTTTCATCATCACTGGCTTTAGTGGTTGGTGTATAAATTTGAAAAATAGTGCTATTAACTGGTCTTCCTTGTAGGTGTATGGATATTATCCTATCACAGACAACACTGTACTTTAGTACCATTATTTCTTGATCATATGATGCCTATAGAAGTGGTTGAACAGTTTATGAGGATAAAAGTCTGAATTTATGACCCCAGCTATAAAGAAAGGCTTTCTCTCTCTCTTGGCTCGTAATTTAAGAGGAAGGCTCTTGTCTCCTTTCTGCATTTGTAGGCTAGGCATCCCTTAGATATATCTATGTATCTTGGCATCAATCTTCCCCTGGTCGAGGACACATTCCACTCCTGACTCTCCTGTCTTGGTGATGTTAGGGCTTTGTTTCTCTGCTTGCTTTTCTCTCCTTTTATCTCTTGTAAGATAAAAGGTGTTACTAGTGTTGTAATTCTCTTAAGTGTCCCTCAAGGCAACTTCCTATTTGATTCTTCCCAGGAAATGAAACAAGCAATACTAATATCTTCCATAAACATCTAGCCATCTAAAATGGAGACATGAATCACCCTGCAGATATATATAAGCAAACTAGATATTAGAA